GACGCCCGACCAAACAATATAAATGGCTCGGCGTGGCTCAAGGTCGACATCATTCTGACTTTTCCGACTTCAAATACAACTAGAATAGCAATCAACGCAAGATGCGCGCCTTCATCGTCTTGTGCTATATTGGCCATCACCTCCACCGACAAGCTCGGCTACAACTACAAGCCGTCTCGGCCACTCTCCAGCTCCGGACTGTCCTTCGCTCTGGCAGCGGTTCCCTGAGCCTGGGGGCGGCGGTGGATCCCTTGGGCCTCGGCGGGTAGCGGATCCGCGCCCAGGCCTGGGAGGCGCGGCAGCGGATCTTTGGGCCTGGGTGGCGGCAGCGGATCTTGGGCTGGGCGGCAGCAACTTCGGAAGCTTGGACGAGGCTTACGGCGTGGCTCTATCGATCTGGGGATCCATCTGGTCGGCTCTCTTGGACTTGTCTCTGGACTTCGGTTCCTCCTGGTTTGGATCCGGCTTGGGATCCGCTGGACTGGCGACGCCCCAGTCTCCCCACAGCGCCCCGCCCCTCTGCTGAACTTGAGAAGGAGTTCTTCCACCTTCACCACCACCAACGAGGAGACTTCGATGACCCAGGCTTTGGAGACGCGTTGCCAGCTCAAGCCCAATGAACAAGGGTCTGCGTGTGGTCTTCATCAAGGGACCCCGAGGGCTGCCGTGGTCTGGAGAACGCTGCTCTATTTCTGGCCAAGCAGGCTGCCCAACCGGGAGACCGCCATCTCTAACTAATACTGAACAAGCAATGGAGGCCGACATCGGAGACCTTGCAGGAGTTAGGGCACCATCCACACAGCAACTCAATGAACAACAAGCCTGAGTGATGCACTAAATCCCATTTACCAGGACTCCTGAGAGGATGCCCTTTAGCGTGCCATCCAGTCTCTGGCGTACGACCAGTTGGGAGGAGGATCCAGCCAGGCCGTAACGGTGGTGTTGCCAACGCCTGAACTTCCTCCGCCGGACCAGGCCGTCCCAGGCTACCGCCCGATCCCCGAGAACTCATGCCTGCCCTCTCGTCGGTGCTCCGTCTGCGTTATCGCCTAAGAGTGCCGCCCAGCTTTTAGCTAGACCGTTTGTTGATGACTTTTGTGTTATCTGTGGATTGTCGAACGGGCCCTCAAGCTGAGTTCTTCTTTTACTTTAACTTTTTTTTGTAGCTATTTCTGTCCTCTGCTGTGGGAACTGGGTAACGGACCCATAAAGTTGTCAATTTAATGTCGGAAATTTTACTGATAATAGTTGAGCCGGCATTCGCTGGACCGGTAGAATGGTGCCCGCCTACCCCTCGGCGTTTTATTACATGCCCGGAGTGCCCTGCAAATTCCAATGCGATGGCGCCAAATGGAATACAGGGTGGATCAATAAAAATTTATGTTTTGGGATGCACAATGAAGCAATCGAGCTAAAATTTTTATCTGGTAAAATGTTAATTAATCTTCATTGAGTAAAAGGTTGAATAATAACGACTATTAACAACTCCAAATTTACCAGCAACTGCGAGACCGGAACCAAAGACGGCATACCCTGTGTGAGTGATAACAGAGTGTGGATGAATGGCCAATAACAAAGAATAGTGATGGTCATCGACGACTCTTTCAGAGCACCACACTACGGCTTATTAGCATAAGCAGAAAACTCGGCGAAAGTTTGTTTAGAAGCGCCGCAAAAATTGTAGCATATTTAATGATTATAAGAAGAAAAAAGCTTTCGAAACTAACCAAAAAAGATATATAAGGAGAATTATTAGATAACATGAAAAAAACACGTTGACCAAAGCAAAGATGGGAGTAGTGAAGCTGGAGATCGAGTCGGCTGATGTGAGGGCATGCTCGAATATGAAGGTGCAAAATTAAAGACAACCAATTAAAAGAAGGCTTAAATGATGGCAAAAGAAAATCAACTTTGTTCAAAGTGCACATTGATTTCACGCGCAAAGTGTGGGCGTCGTGGAGTTGGTTACGCTGCCGCGCTCGATCAGCAGTCAGGCAGGCCCATCCACCTACAAACAAGAAACCAAGATGCCGCGCGTCTTATTGTGTATAAAGTATTCTATTGTTAGGATCAAGGAACTTCATTAAGAATAACTGATCCTTTTGTTCTGATTTTCAGGCTCTGTGCCTTGCAGCTGCCATCGTGAGTGCCAGGGGTGGCTGAGCACAGCCTGCGGCCCCTACTCCAATTGCCACATCCTTCGCTAACTCCTTCCGGCTCCAGCTGCTCCTCCTTCCTGATGTGGCTATCCAGGATGCTCCCGCCGAGACCCTATGCTTTCCTGCTGCCGCTCCCGAACCTGCTCCCTGCTGTCGCTAACAACCCTATGTGGCTCCTCAGGCAGAGCTTCCAGAAGGAGTTCTTCACACCTTACCTGCGCAGATGGAAAGGCAGGACTTTAATGAATGTCAGCTGCCTCTGAGCAGGTCTCCGGCTCCACCTTGAACCAAGGCTCCCGATGCTTGATCTTCATTAAAGGGACCCGAGAAACACTGGTCTGAGACTGCCGCCGTGGCTCTGTGCCAAGCAGGGCTGGACAGCAGAAAGCGAGAGCATCTATGTCTCCTGGAACAAGGAAGCCGATATTGGAGATCTCAGCAACAAGTTGAACGCCATCACAACAACAACAACAACAAGCCCGAGGTTCAATTCGTGGAAGTACCGCACCAACAGGGGATGCGATCACGCCCAGCAGGCCATCCAGTATCTCGGCGGAGTATGATCAGTTGGGTGGATCCTCCACCATCCGCAGAACGGAGGCGTCGCTCCCGTCCTGAACTTTGCATCTCAACCCGCTGCCCAGCACGTGGCTGCTCCTCTCTGCTCCTGGTAGCTCTTACCTCCCCGCTTCGGTCCTCTGTTTCCGCCAGTAGCCATTGAACTGACCTCGAGACTGACCCATGACCCATCAACGATTCCTACGCACTCGCTGCGAACCCATGTTGCCCTAGTTAGTAAATCTTTCAATTTCGAGATGTCTCCACAAATAAAATATTGTTAATATAAAAGTGTGTTGTAATCGATGGGGAATCGCGAATTTTGTAACAAATTTCAGACATTGAACTATTTACCCCATATGGTGGGTGTTTGTCCCGATTTGGATAGCTTTTTGGACCACTTTTGAGGGGCACAAAAACCTTATAAATGCTTGACGCTTGCGATTGTCTGACAAATGTTTTTTTGCTCTTCTCGTGGTTATATCATGCTTGGAATAGTGGTAAGTTTAACTGAATTTAACAAATTGACAAAAAGCTTAAGTCTGAGCTCTGTCCTAGTTTCTCGCTATTGGCTGGCGTTCTATGGAATTGGGTTACCAGTACCAATAAATAGTTATGAAGGAGCTGTCAATAGCTATAAAATGAATTGCTTTGGCTGAAGAGAGGTATCCAGTCAGCCTGGAAATCACTACCAGCCGAATGCGGACTTTTCACTAAGCATTTCTATGCCTCGAGGCTCCTATGATTCCGCAGAGGAGGCAGACTTAGTACAAACCAAGCTGGCAACTCTGTCCGAAAAGAATCTCCAGGTGGTGTTTATCAAGGCTCCGGAAAACAAGGCTGTGGTGGGTGCTCTCAACGCCTTGGCCAAACAAACCACCGAGGATAAGACTGCCATCTATGCTCAACAAGCAGACGGATGCTAATGAATTGGCCACTGAAATAAGTGCATTGAAGGGCACAGCACAAACACAAGCCACAGGTTCATTTTGTGTAGGACAGAGGCGGAGGCTGCTCAGGCCCAGCAATATATTCAGGCACAGTATCGGCGGAGGAGCTACGATTCCACAGCAGGCGCAGGCATCATCCTTGGGATATTATCCTGAACAGCAGTTGCAATCGAGGAACCTCGTCCTGGAGACTATCCAGGTTCCCAAGCTGCTTATCTTAACACAGCTCAACAATCGGCATATCAACCCACAGTCTGGGCTGTCTGCCACCCTTGCCCAGTTACTCTCCATTCCGCAGGGCTACAAAGCGGCTGGTTCTTCCAGCCGGAGCTTTCATCCATTGGACAGATAGATCTGCCACCCGTTCCGGAAGCTCAACAGGATCTATCAGCTAACTACAATGATGCCAATGCGGACTACCGCTCGGCCAGATCAAGACGCTTTGATTTCCGGGCTAATGAGCGTCATGGGAAGTCGCATGGTCTTCCCATCTCCCAACCCCAGGTAAACGCCTGCGGCTCTCAGTAGGCCCACCTGTTAAATTAAGACATAAAATTAGTGCCATAAGACTACCCCAACGGGTAACTAGTTATAGCGTAAATAAAGCCGAAGATATGTCAATGAATGTGCCACCTGTGTTTCTGTTTCTTCTTCTCAGCCAGATCTGAGCTGGAGTTGTTAATTTCGGTAAGCAGCTTATCAGAGATTTGGGCCTAGACTTAAAAAAAAGAGAAGAGACCTGCTAAAACATCAAAAATGACGTGTAAATTAACAAATCAGTAGCCATAAAACGTCGGCCGTAAAAATACCTGGGGAGTGAAAGTAGAGCTGCGGAGGTGTAAGCCGCAGGGGCAAATGCTGATAGTCAAAACAAATGGCTTCGTCTATGACAGGCGACAACAATGGGGCCCCAATATCATATGAAAATATTTTATAACTAATTCAAATTGGGAGCTCATTTGTAAATTTTATGCGAATTAAATTCAAGTTCATGCCGGGCAACGGGTCAGACGCACAACCACACTTCTGTTCATATTATGGAGTTGGCTTTTGTTTCGGGGTCTTGCAAACCCCTGAAATTTGATTTCAAAATTGAACGACATTAACATGGATAATCGGAGCAGGCAAAGGCAAACAAACACACAAACCAGAGCAAACGTTTGCAGAAATCTTTTATAGAAACAAAAAATGCAAAAATAGCGAAATAAAATAAAATCATAACGAGAGACGCCGCGGCCGAGAAGTCAGCTTACTTTCGAACTGCTATTTGTTTGTGTCGTATATAAGGATGGTTTTGTTGCTGGGACTGGATTATAACCAAACAGCGCTTCGAGCGGTAAAAATGGCCAAAACTCAGCCGGCGCGGAATATCACAGCCATGTACTCCTTGTTGGTAAGTTGAGAGCAGGAAAGCCGGCCTTAACTGAAGATTAACTAACTGAATTTCTTGTAGGTACTTTCGCTGTTTCTTGGTATTAGCCATGGCTTGGGAAATGTCTACCTGCCGGCTGGAAATGAGGTATCAATTGGAGGAAAATTGGCCACGGAATACTTTACCTACGCAGCTCCACCGGAGGAGGATCTAATGGCTCCATGGCAATCTGCCAGACAATTGGCTCAGGTGCTCTCCCCGCCGCAACAGGTGGTGTTTATCCGAACTCCGGAGACGAATCTCTTTTCACTGACTGCCAAGCAACTGGCAGTCAATAATCCGTTGGACATCTTTGTGCTTCACCGGCAGGCGGATGCAGATGCTCTGGCCCAACAACAGGCTGCTATTCAGCAGCAGGCAACTGATAAACCTTCTGTCCACTTTGTAAAATACAAAACTCCTGCGGATGTTACAAGAGCTCTGAGTGCGTTGAGGAGTGACTATGATCGACTACCGGGAAATAGTATTAACCATGCTATTGAAAAGGCCAATGTTATCCAACTTAAGCCACAGCCAACAGAAACTCCTGTGATCTTTAAGATCCGGCCAAAAGATAGCGATGAATACGAGACACATGAGCAGGCTAGTGAATTGGAAACTGCCAAATTGCAGGCGCTATTCCGGGAATATCTCGCCACCGGGAAAAGACGTTAATTTAGTAATAACTTATAGGCTAGTGCCAAAGATTGCTTAAAGGTTAATTAAATTAATTGTTAATTAGTTAAAACCATTTGATGTGTTCCTAAAGATTAAATCGATAAATATATCCACGCGTTTGTGGAAAGTTTTCGGTTACTTCATTACACATTCCGATACTTTACGTCAACGACTTATTTCAATAATTAAGTATCAAAGATATCTCAAGGGCTAAGTTCAAAGTTTAGAAGTTGAAAAACCTTTATGAAAATGGTTGTTTAAGTTGTAGAACTTTAAAAAATTTATGATAGTTGACTTCTGAATTTAATTGAAAGTCAAATTATTAAGTAAGTCCGTTAATCTGCCGGCGCTTTTAATTGCATTCATAATTGCAAATTGAGAAAGTCAATCGATTGCAGCCGTTAAATCATAATTATTCATAGCCAGTGAAGTTATTTAATAATAATTGCTCTGATTAAAGTCGTTAAAAGAAAAATCATTAAACCAAACTTATTGATAGAATTTTTTGTTTTGATATTTTTGCTTCCTATTAATTTGAAGAGTGGGCTGCCCATAAATTACTCAATGTTTTTGAATGCTGAGCCTCTTGTAAAGAAATTTAATTTAAATTTCAATCAAAAAACATTTAGTTGTTATGGCGAGGACTGTAAAGCTGGTCGAAGGTGGCTGTTTATCTATAGCTTTATATTATGAATAATTAATTACTCAGCATAACAGCGTTACATTTTACTTCTGAGTTTTCGCCCCACACTTTATGGATTATCTTCAAAGTATCTCTTAGATAATCATTAAGGTGTTGGTAACCGACTCCCACCGCCAGAGCCGAGCAAATGTTTTCTTAAGCAAATGTCGCCGTTGTCGCTGGAAAACTTTTTAATGAGCTACGCTGGGCGTTTTCCCCGCCGTTCATCCCTTCCCACATGACAAGGCATAGCGCTATCCCTTCCAGGACCCTAGATTTACGACAGGCGGTACTTTTAAGAATGTTTCAACTAAATTACGCCACTACTACGCGGACAACAAGGAGAAGAAGGAGAAACGGAATAGACAGGACACTGGGCTGACATCATTTCGCTTTGCAAATTGTTTTAGTGTCAAAGGTCAAACACACACTTACACCAGTGTGCCTGTGTGCCAGTATGCCAGTGCCATATGACACGCCGAAGTGCAGCCGTAAAAAGGCTCCCGCCAGTGCAAATCTGTTGAGCAAGTTTTAGTTTAAGCATTTTTGAGCAACATGAGATCCTGGGCTGCGGAGGACGAGCTTCTGCTTCGTTGCGCGCCTGCCAAAAACTTTGCCAGTCACGTCAAAGCTGCCGCCCAACATTCCGCCCCTAGACCCACCAGGTCTCCTTTTTTTTATTTCGCGGTATCTCCAAACACTAAGCTGCGCTTAATCCTGAATCCTGGCCGGAGGCAACTCATGACTTGCTGCAATTTCGGGACAGGTGTGTCCAAGGTCCAACTCTCGGATTCCATCCAGCAGCAGCAGCAGCAGCTGCCAAGTTTGCGTGTTTTCCAATCTTTTCTTCGTTTTCGTGGGTTCTTGGCTTGTTTGGCTTGCCATTTCCAAATTAGGCACTTTTTGGCGCTGCCTTTGCTTTTGTTGGCCCACCAACTTTGGTAAGAGTTTCGTTGTGCAGCGGACCCAGCTAATAGCCAGCATGAGTGGCCAAATGCTGGGTGGAGTCATGGCTAATCCTAGGAAATAAGGCCAATGGGAATCCCCTGTTTTGTGTAGGCATGCAAATAAAAAAAAAACATTTTCTTAAAGGTGTTGATTAATTGCTTTATTGCAATTTAATTAATATGTGATTAAATAAATAAAATAATAATGACAATATTTTTCTCAAGCCAAGTTAATAATGGTCCGAATATAGAAAGTGAGGTATAACTTTCTAGGCCTATTTTTTCATTTTCCCCTTAATATAATATGACAGTGTTTTTTTTATAACTTTGTAAATAATGGTTCAAATATAAAACAAAATAGTCTTAAAGAATTCATCACTTTAAATAGGATATCTTAGACAACTTGTTGTAAGGAAATTATCTTAATACCTGCCAAAGGAATTCCAAAGAAAATTATAATAGTTATGGCGACCCTCTCGACCCAATAATAGCTGCTATTGCACAATTTAAATTTATCTGGCCTTGGCTATCAAACAACGCCAAAAAGTTTAAATATATAAAGAATCATTAAGTGAACCGTCGAAAAAGATTGACGTTTTCGACCCGTGCCCAGAGAAAAAACGCGAGCTTGTGGAAAATTATGAAAATTATAATACCGGATTAAGCTGGGACCAACCCGAGTACCAACTGACAACTACCAACTGGCAAACCGTCGACCGCCAGATATTATCGCAAAGCCAGTAGCTGTTTATTTTCCAAGCATTTCAACACAGTGTGCTTCTCTCCCGCGGCATCCAGATGGTTGCTTTTGCGGCCTGTCGCAGCCAACACAAATCAATTAGATAATGTGGCAGCATCGGCTGCAGAAGCAGCCTGCAATCGCAAACTCCTGATAGGCCATGCATATTTATAAACTTTATAACCGTCGCAGAGTGCATTTTAATCAAAACTAAGACAAAACGATCGTGGACTAGCGATAGGCCTAGGTCGGGGCATATGCTGCATATTTAAAACGATGGGGGGTATTTAATGACGATCGAATGGCATCGAAATCAAATCAACAACAAGCATGACGAAGGCAAGTGTCGTTCCTAAACAGTGGATCTTTTCTCTCTTGAAGCCAAAAACTGGGTTTATTTCGTGAGAGGGCAGATGCAGGTTGCGAGCTTGTGTCTCCAACTATAAAAGCCGGATTGGGCTGAGCTTTCAGTATTAGTTCCTTCTGTCATCTTTCAATTGACCGCACCTTCCAGTCATAAGCGTGCTTATCGTAAGTCTCTTTGTGGTTTTGGCCAGGAAAACACATTTATATACTATATCTTCAAATCATGTAGGTCCTCTGCTTGCTTGCTGCCAGCTGCAGTAAGTTACATAAACTGGGTTACAACTACCAACCTGTGGCCCATGCTGATGAGTGGTTTGTCCTTTTCTTGCCAGGAAGTGGACGGGGGGGATTGAGACCCCCCCCCAGCAGTTGTTGCAGCCCGTGCTGAGTGGCGAGGCTTGCCGCTTTCCCAGCCCATTGAAGCTCCCGTTTGTCGCCGATCCAGGCTCCTGTTGTTCCACAGGTAGCTCCTTTGCGGTGGAGTTCCAGGAAGGAATTTACAGCTATGCTGCCCTGAGGAGCAGTTTGATGAGGGTGCCAGCAACCAGCAGATCACCAACAAAGAAGAACCTCCGCGTAGTCTTCATCCGCACTCCGGAAAACCAAGGCTTCGAACGCGCCGCCCTCCGAGTTGGCCAAGTAGTTCGCCCAGCAGAGGATATCCGCCATCTATGTGCTGACCAAGCAATCAGATGTGTCCAACCTGGCTACAGTTGAACGCTCTGAAGACCAGCTCCACCAACAAGCCGGAGGCACACTTGTCAAGTACCGCAAACCTGAGGATGCTGCCAAGCCCAGTTGGCCATCCAAAACCAGTACAAACCAGTTGCCCGAGTGTCCCGGGCATTTCCAACGAGGGTAGTGCTCCTGTCCTAATTCTTCCTGGCAGCTCAGCCTGTTGCAGCCCCCGCCAGTGCTGCTCCAGTTGCTGCATCTGCTCCGCCTGGAGTGCATTCTGCCTGCCAATGTGATCGCAAGGGTCAGGATTACCTGCCTCCACTCTGTGCCTGGCTTCCGCGTCAAGTAGTGTACTGGCGAAAGTCCGAGTGCAATCGCTTTCCAAACAATCACCTGCCCACTCCTGCATCATCGTCCAAGTCAACTAGCTCTTAAGTATCCATGTAGATGGAATAAATTTGTTTTGCTTGACAAATTCCCGATGTGAACTGGAAAACTCATTTGCAGCCTAATTGCAGGATTCACTATTTGGCACACTGCGGAACCGAACCTTTCCTTTGTGCGAGTTTCTCGTTTTTGCCATTCACAATGCGCCGGCATTGGCTTTGCCTGCTGCGTCTGCCTGCGCATTCGATGAGTTATCCTTTCCACATAAAATCCCTGAAATAGTAGCTGGATAAAAAGCGGCTGGCATGTCATAAAGTCCAGCAACAAGTTGAGCCACTCCACATATGCCGCTCACATTGCGAAGAAAGTGAAACGAAACTGCACCCGCACACTCATAGAATCCCCAGCATATGCACAATGGTTTTATCCTATCCGCCATTTGTAATTGGAGTTATTAGAATCGAAATGAAGTGGTTGGACAATGGCCTCGGTCTGGGCCCGGCTCCAGTTTCCGGCCACTCTTTGCAGACCATGCTAGGAATGGGTTTTCTCAGTGATGGAAAATGTAGAAGAGGTACTCTCCCCAAAATATTTTTGCAAATTACCATTACATTTACAAAAAAAAAAATCGAACGAAATTTCCAGTTTTTAAAACATGTGATTTAAAAACGGTACAAAAACCAATAAAATGCTTAGGTACCAAAATGTAGTTTGGTCTGACGAAGTCAATATCAAGGTAACAGCGTCCCTAATACTTTCCCAAGGTCACTGGTGGTTATTGTTAAAATGGGCCTTTTTGACAGCTGTGGTTTGTGTAAGTGGCAATGGTCCTGTTGCAGGTGGAAGCGGCTCTTTCTTTATTCCGATCTGTGTCCTGCCAGCTGACGACACTCTTGAGTATGGATTGTGTAACCTTGTTGTGGGTGAGCAGATGGGTGTGGTGTATGCCATGATGGCTTCATGCTTCTGTGGAAGGTAACTCATCATGGGAAATGAAAGCACACATGGCCCGGAAACTGAACTATGCTGGAGGATTTGGTACACGCTGTTGAGTGGAGTCCCTAAATTTCACTTAGACGTAACATAAGCCCGATATAAACGCAAAAACCAACGGTAAGCATGTATTCCATGGCCATCAGGATGTGTATGTGTGTCTGTGTCTGTCCTTGCCCGCAGGAATCGCACGCTTATCAGCAGT